TTTAGTATGTGTGTGTGTGCTTATCGTATGTGTGTGCGTTTGTGCGGCAGGGTTGTTGAAATGTTTTCTGTATGTGGGAGGTGATTGTAGGAAGACCCCATTAAATCTTTTGAGACAATCCATGATGTTGGCGGGGTATGCATGCTCCGAGTAAACACGGCAGTTTGTTTAATGAATAATATGTGACTTCAACAGAAAGAGAGAGCGTAAAAGAAAAATGTTGTAAACGAATCACATAGTCTGTCTTCTTCTTATTAGAAAGCTTGAAACACCCGTGTCAGTCACTTTTTGACTCTTTAGGCTGAGAGCTGATTGGCTGAGTGAGGTAGGTCATCTCTGTTTCACTTTTCTGTCTGAAAAAGCTGAAGATGTGACAGAGACCAGAAACACATGAAAACTATTGACAGAAGCAACTGTTTTAGAGCCAGAATCTGGTGACATGTTGTGTTGTGGTTTGAAAGTTACAGACCCCAGCTTTAACCGTGATATACTGCAGTCCTTTATGAGCCCGGCTCCTTTTGGACTTGTTGCCGTTCCTTGTAAACTTCCTCAGTGCAAAGTGCATTCTTGTCCTGCTCTTAAACCTGTTTTCAACTCAAAAGACTCACACTAATTGTTGTTTGATTCAGACGGCGGCACATCTGCAGCGGCCATTACAGCACTTTTGGAACCATTACAGAAAGAATGAGACCAGAGAGAGACCAGAGAGAGAGTAGAGAGAGAGCAGAGAGGGAGAGACCAGAGAGACACCAGAGAGGGTAGAGAGAGCAGACAGCGAGGCCAGAAAGAGAGACCAGAGAGAGGCACCAGAGAGGCACCAGAGAGAGACCAGAGAGAGACCAGAGAGAGACCAGAGAGAGACCAGAGAGAGACCAGAGAGAGACCAGAGAGAGACCAGAGAGAGACCAGAGAGTGAGGCTAGAGAGCGGCCAGAGAGAGAGACCAGAGAGAGACAGGCCAGAGAGAGAGACCAGAGAGAGACAGGCCAGAGAGCGAGTAGAGAGAGAGACCAGAGAGAGACAGGCCAGAGAGAGAGACCAGAGAGAGACAGGCCAGAGAGCGAGTAGAGAGAGAGACCAGAGAGAGAGACTAGACAGCAAGGCTAGAGAGGGACCATAGAGAGAGAGACACCAGAGAGAGAGAAATACTAGAGAGAGAGAGACCAGAGAGAGAGAGGTACATTACAGCTCTTTTGGAACCAGCCCAGGGTTTAAGAGCAGCCTGACCTTGTAATAAGCGCCTCCTCCCTACTGTGGTCTCGCTCATTTGTCCGACTTTACGGGATGCATGTGTAGGATGTGTGTATGTGCGTGTGCTCATGTAGATTTCTGTGTGTGTGTCTGTGTGTATGTGTGTGCGTGTGTGTAGGTGGGCGAGCTGTAAATCCACGTTTGTTTACTCTGGCAGCCCACTCCACACAGAGGAAGTTGACATCAGCAACACCAAAGGCTAAATCAGGCTTTTTCTCCTCAGATCCCGTGATAACACAGTTCACAAGTCCAAGTGTTTGTGCTCAGAGGGAGAGGAAGAGGCCAGAGCTCCCCTTTCTTTACTTACACATTCAAGCTGCCAAAGTCCTGCTCCAGTCCTGCCACAGTCCAGCCCCAATCTAGCCCCAGTCCTGCTCCAGTCCTGTCACTGGTTTCATTGTTTTGTCCATATTTTTTTAAAGGGCAGCAAATTAAAAACTAAAAATGTGTAGATCCAGGAAAGAACAGAGAGAGAGAGACAAGAGAGAGTCCAGCGAGAGAAACTAGAGAGAGAGAGACAAGAGCGGGAGACCAGAAAGAGAGTCGAGAGAGACACCAGAGAGAGACAAGAGAGACCAGAGAGGGAGTCCAGAGAGAAAAGAGACAGAAAACAGAGACACCAGAGAGAGCAAAGAGAGACCAGAGAGAGGAACTAGTGAGAGGGACCAGAGAGAGAGACCAGAGAGAGACCCGAGAAATAGAGCCAAGAGAAAGCAGAGTGTGAGACCAGAGAGGCTTCTTCCACATTCAGGCTAACACTGTGGTGATGTCACACTCAGTCCTCTCCTCATGTACTCTATCTTTTTGTATTATGTCTTTAATAATCACCAAACCATCGCCGCTGCAGGGTTCAGTGCGCAGCCCTCTCTCAGACGACCCACCTGCCTCTGATCCCACACTCCATATTAGCTCCGCGGATCATTGCTTCTTTCACAGAGTTGAAAGCCTCGCCGACAGAGGAGCCGGCCAGGCAGAACGGTCGTGACCAGGAGAGCGTGTCCGAGCGAACGGGAAAACACGCAGATATGAGAGTTTAATAGGAGTGACATCACACGCCTGCAGCTCAGAGACACTGTAACTATAGAGTAAAGAAAGCAGGAATGCTATAGCCCCAGTCCTGGATCTACAGCCTCAGTCCTGGATCTACAGCCTCAGTCCTGAATCTACAGCCTCAGTCCTGAATCTACAGCCGCAGTCCTGAATCTACAGCCTCAGTCCTGTACCTTCAGCCTCAGTCCTGGATTTACAGCCTCAGTCCTGGCTCTACAGCCTCAGTCCTGATCTACAGCCTCAGTCCTGGATCTACAGCCTCAGTCCTGGATCTACAGCCTCAGTCCTGATCTACAGCCTCAGTCCTGGATCTACAGCCTCAGTCCTGGATCTACAGCCTCAGTCCTGGATCTACAGCCTCAGTTATCCCGCTCCCTATGGACGAATGGCTCCTATGTATTTGTTATTTTTGCGTTTCCTGTGCAATAAAATCTAACTACATTCAGGTAATCATCAAACTCTCACTAAACGATAAAACCTCCTCAGATAAAGTCAATAGACAAGGATCTTACACCAACTAATGACCTCTCCACACTTGAAATACTTATCAAACATACAATTTTCCGCTTTAAACCCAAGTTCCGCTGAACGCCGCTGCTCCGCGACTCTCCACCGTGAGTTACAACTAGTTCTCACAAGTTTTTTAAGGCGATTCCAGCCCAAATCTCCAAAACAAATCAACCTCATTCTAAAGCTTGTTCTCTCCACACTGGGCATAAATCTTTCCTTTGAGCGCGGGGCAAGACTCCGAGGCCGTGGGGTTAAGCTGCTTGGTTTTACACGTCTTCTTTAGTCGCTGACAAAGGGTGTAGCTTACCCCTGTATTAAACTTTACAGCTATGAGTGAAAGGCCAAACCCTGATGCTTTTGTGTGATAATTGGTAACACAATGGGGAAGAGAGAGGAGGGAGGACGAGACCAGACAGTGACTAAAGACTGACTTAGTGTGGACTGGTCTATAAACAAGATCAAAATGCTTCTACCTCTACTGACATTGTAGATTTGTGATTATAATAGCGATAATGAATGGTGGAGATTAGATTGTGTTGTATAGTTGCATAGGTTGTCTAACAGCTTTATAAAATGTGGATTTTTCTAAGCAGTAAAGTCAGACTAAGGTGTGTGTGAGATACAGGGAACTTTTGTAAATGTTTTGGAGAAAGAAAAAACCGGAGCATCCCCCAGTTCTCAATAGCTTGTGTGGGACTATCTCTCTGGTTTCTCTCTGGTCCCTCTCTGATCTCTCTCTAGCCTCTTTCTCTGGTCTTTCTGGTATTTCTCTCTGCTTTCACGCTCTTGTCTCTCTCTCTCTACTCCCTCTTTCTGCTCTCTCTCTCTAGTCTCTTTCCGTGGTCTCTCTAGTCTCTGTCTGCTCTCCCTCTCTGGTCTCTCTCTCTGGTCTCTCTCCCTCTGGTCTCTCTCTCTCTGGTCACTCTCTCTGGTCTCTCTGATCTCTCTCTGGCATACCATACATATTTAGATGGTAGAAAGCTATATTTTCCATTCATACTTGTTTCACCGTTTTGTTTCTACTTTCTAAAACATTGTACATATTATATGTATATGAGCATGGGTCTTAACAAAAGAAAAGCCTAATATTCCTTCTCTAAAGTGGATGGAGCCAAAACAATCGCCTTATACCTTATGCACCTTGAACTTGTATCACTTTCTGTCGTTCCCTTGAATATCTCAGACGTCCTCACGATATTGAACTGTTTTTTAGTCTCTTCCTCCGACTCTGGCATTCGTAAATCCAACTTCTGTCATTCCCACTCGACTCAAACCCTAATTGGACGTGTCTCCTTCACTGCGTTGGACGCTTATAGATGAAAAGAGCTGCTTTTGCTCCGGAAGCTCTCATTTCCTCACCGGCAATTTAGCAATCACCCAAAATGAACGTCTGCGCCACTTAAACGCCAAACCCAGTGCCTCACAAGCCCAAAAGCCGGAGCGACAAGAGCTCCATCTGTCTCCATTTGTGTCGTTGTTGTCAGTCGCAATTACAGAACACGTTTAAAGCTGAGGTACGTCACTTTCAAACCACACAGATTGGGGCTACATGCTGAAATCTAAAATATATTTCAAGTTCCTTTCTTTAAAAAAGTCGTATCACTAGTTTTCATGTCCTTGCCATTCTCTGTCACATGTTTAGATCAGATTCTTTGGACGGGAAAGTGAACGAGAGAGGACCACCCTCAGCCCAAAGGGTCAAAAAGTGACTCCCAGGGCTAGAGTCTCTCTCTCTCTCTCTCTCTCTCTCTCTCAAAAAATACTTTATCATCTGTAGTGGCAAAAAGTTAGTTAAAAGTTATAGAAATTGATTGGTGGTAATGTATTTTTAAAATCAAAAACATATGCATATTTTATTCTTTCTACATACATTGTAAACTATTTTTTTGTTTTGCACAATTAATGTCAATACAGTTTGATATTAGATTGGCTCTATGTTACCGTGGCAACCATGGAATTGTATACAGCTCACAGTGATCTTTGTATCCATGGATACGCCTTTGTGATGTCATTTTAGAATTCTGGTCCATAGTTGAGGTGTTAAGTAAATTCTGCATATAAAACACAGAATTCAGAAGCAGAGATTTCGCTTATAGAAACTTTCTAAGGTACTTTTTGGTAAGAGAGAGAGAGAGAAAAAGAAGAATCATGGATGACAGAGAAATGAAAGAATGTATTGATGCTGATAGAATGGAGTGGGACTACACGTACAACCTCGATCTACCGGACGCGTACAGAAACGCACAGCTCGCCGCGATGGAGAAAGGTCAAAAGGGAAAAACGTCTGTGAAAAGTTGCTTTCCAGACCTGGACTCAGTAGACCAGCAGCAGCTCAGTGACGATCTCCAAATGGTTGTGGACATCAACCAGAGGAGCATCTGCCTCTTGAGACAGGACTTAGAATCTGTCCTGCAAGAACTGGAAAAAGCCAATAGTTGGAACTCGCAACTCATCGCGACTAAAAACCGGCAGGAAGATGAGATCGCATTCTTAAAACGGCAGGTCTTAAGAACTCATATGAGCGCCATCCTCAAAGTCAAGAACCAAGAGAATATGATTCAGGAGCTTGAGCAGAAGCTGAGAGACCAAACAGAGAGGTGTGAGGTCCAACAAATCCAGATGGCATCCACAAACTTAGAGTTAGCACAGTCCAAATCCTCTTGTAATGATCTCAAACAGGAGCTGGATTCTCTCCAACAGAAGAATAATGAGAAAGATGAGGAGATCCAGCAGCTAACTCTGCAACACTCCATACGAGACAACAGTTGTGACAAAACCACAAAGGAACTGAAGGCTCTTTTAGACGTGGTGGAAAAGGAACTGCAAAATGAACGCGCAATTAACAGTGACAAAACGATGACCATAATTCAGCTGAGAAACCAAAACGCGATATCACTCATCGCACAAAAGCATCTCGCATCTAAAAACGAGGCTTTAGAAAGAGAGAGCAAGAAACTCAAGGCTGTGATCGCGAAACAGAAAAACAGTCTTTTACTTCAAGAGCGCAACTTGAAAGACAATGAGACACTGAATGCTACATGTACAGTTACGGAGGTTCTGAAGGTTAAAACTTTTCTTGAGGAAGAAAACTCACAACACAAGGAATTTGAACAAAGTTTGACGCCTTTGAAGGAAGAAAATGTGTGTCTCAAATCCACAATTGTCAAACTGGAAGCAACGAAAAAACGTGTTGAGAACGAGAGCTCACGTCTGAAAACAAAAAACGCAAAACTGGAAGATGATTTGAGCTCTTTGAAATCTATCAACACAAGTCTCATGTCCACAAACGAGGTGCTACGTAAAACAGTGAGTGACAGTGACGCGGCGAAGGCTTCTCTTCATGACGACTTCTACAAGGTTTTAGACTTGATACAGCAGCAGAAAGACCAGGAGTCCAAAGCAGAAACTCAACTTGTTCTCCTTAAATCTACAATCAAGAAACTGAAAAACTCCAAAACTCAACTGGAACAGCAGGTGGCAGAGGACAGGACCACTATGACTGAGCTGCAGGCAGAGGTGGAGCGATTAAGACAGAGGCTGGAGTACCACGGCCAGCCCACGGTGGCGCTGTCCCCCATCAATAACACACCCAGAGGTGACTCCAGGTGTGTTCAGAAGGAAGGAAAGGTGCCCGAAACTTAAGGGGCACCTGTTTAGGCGTCAGAAAAGAGACGCCCTGATGGGGAGAGGGTGGGGGTATAAACCAGGTTCCAGAGAGAGTTTTTAACTGGGAGTCGGAGAAATGGTCTGAGTCTAGTTTCCCCTTGCTCGGGTTGGGGTGCAGTCATGCTAAGTCTGTGTCAAAACTCTAAGGGTGAACAGTCCTGGCTCTGGTCTCTCAGGCTCCAAGACTGGACAGGTTCTTGTTGAGGTTCTAGTGTTGTAGAGATTGTGGAAGCTGGTTCTCACTGGTCTGAGCAGAACCTTCTCTCTGTCAGCACACACATACCAGAGCTGATGCTAGTGGTGCTTTAGTGTGTGAGGACAGAGCAGGGACTGGTTCAGACTAGAGACCCAGCAGAACGTCTTCTACAGCGGTAGGACCAAGACAAGAACAAGTCCGGTCTGAACTCGGAGAGACCGGATCCTGGAACAGGACCATGTCCAGTTTGAACTCAGAGAGACCGGACCCTGGAAGGTTTATAGTCATTAGAATAAGCAAAGAAAAATCAATACATATATAAAAAATTTAAGCAATGTGATTTTGTCTTTTTTTGAAATCCTTGAAGTAGCAGCTGTTTGTTTAAAGGCTGTAACAATCAGACAAGAACGAGACTAGGGCCACTCTGAACTCAGAGAGACTGGACTATGGTAGGTTTATAGGAATTATAATTGGCAAATAAAAAAACAATATATATAAATAATTTCAGATTGTTTGAACGGCAATGTGAAAAAGAGAGGACCACCCTCAGCCAGAGTGGAGTAGAATAAAGTAAAGTAGAGTACAGTAAGAGCAGACTTGAACACATCACAATGATCTGTTTTCTTCTTCCTCCAGAGCCGCAGAGATAACAGTCTGTAATTATGTTTCTCCAGCTCCTGTTTGACATTTCTTGTGGCGTGTTTTTAACCAACGGAACAGAACTTCACAACACTGAGCTCTGATTGGTCTGAAGCTGCAAAATGGCTCAGTCGCATTCAAAAACAAGATATATTCTCAAGACCAAGTTTAAAGCTGGGGTACCCAACTTTTCTCCTTCATTTGTAATCGTCAGAAATTATTATCTTGTGTGTGGGAAAGATCCCTGTGAGTCACAATTTGACTCTTTTTTTTTCCCTTTTCCATCTGAAAAAGCTGATTTTAAGCTGTGACAGAAGGCAAACATGTGCAATCTCATGATTTAGAAGACTTAGATTTTATATACAGGACAGACCAAACGTTTGGACTCACTTTCTCATTCAATGAGGTTCCTTTCTTTTCATGACTATTGACTGTAGATTCACACCCAAGCTGTGTAAGGGCTATTTGACCAATGAGGAGAGTGGTGGGGTGCTGCGCCAGATGACCCAGCCTCCAGTCACCGGACCTCAACCCAGTCCAGATGGTTTTGGACCTGAACCCAATCCAGATGGTTTTGGGGCTGGACCACAGAGTGAAGGGGAAAGGGCCAACCAGTGCTAAGCATCTGTGGGAACTCAGACCATTTCAGGTCCTCTTGAAGCTCATCAAGAGAATGCCAAGAGTGAAACAGAAATCAGAGCAAAAGGTGCTACTTTGAAGAACCTAGATAATGAGACATATTTTCAGTTTCATATTTTTTTTTAGTATGTACATAATTCCACATGAGTGAATTCATAGTTTTGATGCCTTCAGTGTGAATCTACAATTTTCATTATCATGAAAATAAAAAAAAAATTCTTTGAATAAGAGGGTGTGTCCAAACTTTTGGTCTGTACTGTAAATTTTCTGTTGTTTGAAATATGGAAATAGATATCCATATTTTTATTATTTTTCAAAACATTTTTTCATTTTGTTTTTGGGGGACATTTTGACTGATGTCTTTGTATTTATTTGTTTAATTGGATGTAAAAGTTTATATAGCAGGAGCTGTAAATACACCTGATTCTTGTTTTGTAGCTAATGTGCATCATGTAGTCCCACAGTCACACTCAATCAACCCTCACCTCTTGCACGTGTTTTTAGTGGTAGGAGAAACCGGAGCACCTGGAGGAAACCGGTGCAGACACGGGGAGAACAAGCAAACTACACAGGAATAAAACCAGGACCTTCTCGCTGTGAAGTATAAGTGCTATCCAACGCGTCACCGTGCCATTTTGATAGTTAAAGTTGGCAAGTTTACATTATATAGTTAACAATGGCTAGTTGAAGTTAGCTACTTAAAGTTTACTCTTTTCAGTTGGCTAGTTTTATTTAACCAGTTGAAGTTAGCTAGTTAACACTGTCTAGTTGAATTTAGCGAGTTAAAGTTTACTATGTTAAGTTGGCTAGTTTGAGTTAGCTCATTGAAGTTAGCTAGTTAACACTGGCTTCTTGAAGTTAACAAATTTACAGTGTCTAGTTAAAGTTAGCTAGCATTAAGCTGGCATTTGAAGTTGGCTAGTTAATGCTGGCTAGTTGAAGTTAGCTAGTTTTAGTTAGCTAGTTAAAGATCGCGAGCCAGTTCAAACCATAAACCTCCCTGAACCAGAATCCCTGTCGTCTCACTTGGGCCTGAACCTCTTGGCTGCAGCTAACGTGTAAAACGTGTAAAAGTTATGTGCGCTAAACGCTAAACCGCAGCCCTCTCCGCGACAGCCCCCATTCATTTGCTCCCATTTTATTTCCTTCTTGTCAAACTACAAAAAGTATAGGCCCTGGGACCATAAACAACATGCTAGCTTAACCGCAGCAGAACAAACGCGGCTCCAAATCCCCCTAGCCTCCATCGCCTTCTCACAACGTCCAAACAAAAACCAATGAGGACCAGGCTCTAATTCAAAATGTTATGGAAATACGTCTTTAAAACAGATATTTGGCCCCGAAAGCAGCCTTTGAACTCCTGACATTTGACAACTTCCAGAAATAAATGATATTGAAGTAATTAGTAGCGCTCTCCGGCGGGTAAGCTTTCATGTGGCGACAGAGCAGTAGTTTTTAATTAGCGGCAAGGGCTTTATTGGGTGGCATGTCAAACGTGAAGAGAGGAGTCCGGGATGGGGAGGATTAGAAGGACTTAGCCACACGTGTGTATCATGGCAGCATGGAAAACTCTCCTCACCGGGGTTTGGACACGGATCTGGAAGAATATGGAGACGTTTGTGCCATAGACTGTACACAGATGGACAATGCTAATGCAGTAGCTTCTCTGGTCTCTCTCTCTCTGATCTCCATCTGCTCTCTCTCTCTCTGGCCTCTCTGTCTCTGGTTTCTCGTTCTGGTCCTTCTCTCTCCCTGGTCTCTCTTTCTGGTCTCTCTCTCTCTGATCTCCATTTGCTCTCTCTCTCTGGCCTTTCTTTTTTGTCTCTCTCTCTGGTCTCCATTTGCTCTCTCTCTCTGGCCTTTCTGTCTGGTCTCTCTCTCTGGTCTCCATTTGCTCTCTCTCTCTCTGGCCTTTCATTCTGGTCTCTTTCTCTGGTCTTTCTCTGGTCTCGTTCTGGTCTCTCTGTCTGCTTTCAGGGCAACTGCACAATCTGCTTTACTATACAAGCACTTGGCATAAACATAACTAGTTACTTGAGATGATACAGTATAACTGGGAGGACTAAAGTATAGCAATATCGCTGGCTGATCTATAAATGTGAGAGAGGCCATTTTATCTATTTTAACTTTTTATCAGCAAAGCAAATTCCTAGTCTGTGACTTCCTGTTACTTTGGGTGGCAATAATAACACGAGCACACACTTGTGTATGTGTTGTAAATGTGTATGGCTGTGTACTTTTGTGTGTTTATATCAACTAGAAGAACGTCATGTCTCTCTTCCAACACTAGGTGGAAGTGTTTTGTGCATCTTGACCATAGCTTCTTGCTTTAGACAAGTTTATCCACTTTAGCTCTTTGAGGTCTGTGTATGTAAGGTGCAAATAAAGTATATTATTATTATCCATGTCCATGTCCTACTGAAGAAAGTTTAATTCAATAGTTGAGGGCCGAAATGAACAAATAATACTATGTTATGATACTTTATTTTAATCACCGAAGTTTAACCACATTTTAAAAGTTACAATTCATAATATAGCATCAAATCTTGCTTTCAAAGGGTCACGGCTTGTCTAACTTACTATAGTACTTACACTATAGTAAATATATTGAGTAAATGAGCTGTGAGCTGGGACCAAAATAATGCTTTTTAATACTTTTATTTTCGATTCGGAAATGTCCTTAGTACCACTGGGGAAACCTGTCGAAGCCCGTCTTATTATAGGGTTATATTTTCATTACATTTGGCCTTTAAATGGAAACTATATGGGAGCAAAAAGTTATAATTCTCTTCTGATAGTGCTCCAAACACCAGAGAAACCAGGCAAATTACATGTCCTGCTCTGACACAATCTTCTCCCCAATTTCGAGCCGAAAAGCAACCGCATCTCCGGCTGCTTTTGAATCTCGACCCTGGACCCGTGCCGATCCCTGGAAGCCGCCTATGAGGGAGCGAAGTCGGGCTACGATCCAGAGAGAAGTGTTCTTTGAGCCCGCGGTCGGGTCTTCGTACCAAATCAGAGGGATCAGAAAGCCTCAGAGTCTGTAAAGCTACGTCCCAAACGCTTTCCCAAATACTCCGGAGAACCCACGCCCCGAACGAGGTGCCAAGCCACGAGAAGCGGGTTGCCTCTCTCCCTATTGTCTCTCTCTAGGATCTCTCACTATGTTCTCTTTCTAGTCTCTCTGGTCTCTCTCTGGTCCCTCTCTCTCAGGTCTGTAGTTTCTGATCTCTCTCTGGTCTCTCTCTAGTCTCTGGTCTCTCTGGTCTCTCTCTCTCACTCTGATCTCTCTCAGGCCTTTTCTAGTATATGGCCTCTTTCTGATCCCTCTCTGGAATCTCTTTCTGGTCTCTCTCTCTCTCTCTCTCTCTCTCTCTCTCTCTCATCTCTCTCTCATCTGGTCACTCCGGTGTCTCTCTTCATGGTCTCTCCGGTGTCTCTCTCTGGTCTCCTTCTCTCTCTCTGGTGTCCCTCTCTGGCTTTTCTCTCTGGCCTCTCTCTCTCTGGTCTCTCTCTCTCTGGTCTTTCTCTCTAGTCTCTCTGGTCTCTCTCCTATAACAAAGTGTCCCTTGACCCCGCGGTTGGCTCTTCGTACCGATTCAGAGTGATCTCAAACCCCAGAGTATGTAAAGCTCCGTCTCAAACGCTTTCCCCAAAACCCTCTGTAGAACCCACGCCCCGAACGAGGTGCCAAGCCACAAGAAGCAGATTGCGTCAGCCCCGAAAGCTGGAGCCGGGACGCGTAATTACAGCCCGAACGGAAGCGCGCGGTGATTAGGAGCCGTGGAACTGCGGTCTGTTTATCATGCAGCTTCCTCTTTCCTCAAATCCATCCTCTGCCTCCCTCCCTCCCTCCCCTCTGCCTCCCACCTCTCTGCCTCCCTCCCCTCTGCCTCCCTGGATCAAGTTTGGGGACTTCACTCTCTCTCTATGGTCTGTAGTTTCGCTAGTCTCTGGTCTCTCTCTAGTCTCTCTCTGGTCTCTTTCTGGTCTCTCTCTGGTGCCTCTCTAGTCTCAGGCCCCTCTGTTCTCTCTCTCTGGTCTCTCACTAGTCTGCTGCTCTCTGGTTTCACTCCGGTTTCTCTCCATAGTCTTTCTCTTGTTTCTCTCGCTGTCCCTGGGCTCTCTCTGGTCCCTCTTTATAGTCTCTGGTCTATCTCTAGTCCTTGGTCTCTCTCTGGTCTCTCCCTCCATGGTCTCCCTCTAGTCTCTAGCCTCTGTAGTCTCTCACTTGTCTCTGTTATCTCTCTCTCTGGCCTCCCTAGTTTTCTGTCTTAAATAGAAAACATGTTTTATACAACTGAAAGAACGTATTCCAATGTGGTTTTACTGCAATCAACAAATACATTTAATCTGAAACTTCTAAAAGTAGCCTTTTGTGACCACTTTATGCTGTTGTCATTGTAATATAAAACATTTTTTGTCTCAGAACGATCCCTGTGAGTCACTATTTGCCTCATTAGGCTGAGACCCAATTTGCTGAGTGAGGGTGGTCCTCTCTTTTTCACTTTTCAGTCTGAAAAAGAGGATAGATAGATACATAGATAGATAGATATATAGATGGATAAGTACTTTATTATCCAACATTTGTTCTGCACAGTTCAGAAAATGATCGAATGGAGCTGGCTTCTTCAGGGCAGTGTCATAGTGTCATATTGATAGCTATTCAGTTATCTGCACTGTAAAAAAAAAATTGTTATTTTTACGGAAAAATACCGGCAGCTGCGGTTGCCAAAACACTACCGTTAAATTACGGTACAACATTACCTTCACTTAACAGTGATACAGTTAATTTCACAGTTAAAATATGTGTTTGTTACAGTATTTAACCGCTAAAAAAAGAGTCACGGAATTTTTAAAAAACAATGTTTAACCTGAAAAAGTACATGGAAATTTGTTTTTTCTACTGGTTTAACACCATCATTTTTAAATTTAACCACTTTGTTTGTTACGGTAAATTACTGAATTAGTTGAGGTACTACCGTTAAAAAAAATGTAGTTAATTGTTACCATGGAAAGTATTAACATTCCAAAAAATGTTATTTTAAATAACATTTAAATAAAAATTAATATCAAATTTGGTGGGCAACTCTTTATTGACAATTTGTGGTGATGTAAATATCAACTTGAATTAAACAAAATATCAAAGAATGAAAAGTACATTGTGTAAATGTTCATATGTTCGCTTTCAGTGTCCAAACTTCAAAACCAAATGTTTTTGGCCAGAAAACCCCTTTCAAACAGTTACGTGTACTTTTGTGGAACATGGCTAATCACAAGGTGGCATCAGTGAACACAGTGTATTATTTTAAAGAGCATCAAAATAAAAATCATCCCTAAAAAGGAAATGAAGTGCAAAAGTTGCAAAATAAAAGTCAAGAAATACTTTCTGTATGACTGAACAGAATGGTGAACAACATGTGTAGTAAAGATGATTACAGAAATTCTTACTGAGCAGAATCTCTTCCCCATGTTCACATCTAGAACATAGCAGAAACAACCAGGTCTACCTCAACATAAACAACAACAAATTTAGTAAAGATGAACATTTACAAACTACCAGTGTATCATTGTCATATTGTCAAAATCAAATCCTAAAAAAGGGAGCAAAAGTGCTAAATCTAGCAGAACAAAACTTTCTGCACGTTTACGCCTCAACTTGAACAAATAGGGGTGAGAACCCCTGGGCAACTCACAATTCAATACGCGATACAAAAACAGGTGTAAGATTAACATGCACACACTGTACCAGACAATTTATCTTCTAAACTTTACTTACAATGTCCAGCATACAATTTTTTAATTATCCCTCAACATCACTGGAAGGTCCACTCATGGTCAGCAAGGTCAGCGATCAAAGTGAAGACTCTGGGATTGACTGCATACACCTTTTTCTTCTTCTTCCACTCGACTTTGGTGCCTCTCTCAGGATTTATTGAAAAGAAACACCTTTATGAGAGAGAGAGAGAGATTTACCTCAGGTAGGATATCAGATACCTTGCATTTTGTGATATTTTAAAGAGAAAGACATTTTACCTTTGGAGGAACTCCAGTGTAGATCGTAGTTCCACTGGGTAGTGTATGTTGAAGCAGTAGTAACTGGCAAACATCAGGCAAATAGCAGAGGTAAAGGAAATGATGTGGTCGTTGACAATCTCTTGGTCGATGCTCAACATAAACCTCTCAGCAGCGAAGCAGGATGGTCCTAACAAGGAATCCAAAATAGACAAAAAATATTGGATGAGTCATACAACTGACAGAACTTGAAATCAGGTACATTATTAGTCAGTGTCTCAAATTAAGCTGCAAGCTACAAATGAATGTTAGTATAGCGATGAAAGCTTGCAGGTTTGCTTTAGTGAACTCACCACACACAATGAGGCAGGGTGTAGGTGGCACATTCTCCATCTGAACATCCTCAGCAAGGCTGGTCTTATCGATGAACTGTAGGAGATGCTCTTCCTTCTCAGCAAAATGAGCCAGCAAGAGCACCACCATCTCAATGAGCTCCTCCGAGGTACCAGTGGACTGACCCCTTTCGTTTTGAATCTTCAGAAGAGCATCCAGAACAGTTGTGCGTTTCTGTGCGTCAACACGTTTGAAGTAGTTCATGAGACGTGCCCCCTTTTTTTCCACATTTGCCAGGAAAGATTCCTTCAAACTCACACCTGTCAGTTCTTTAAAGTGTACAGACATGCCATCTTCCTCGAACAAACAACTTGGGATGCTTGCGCCTTTATTGATTTCTTGGCGTTGTGTGAAATAGGTGGATTTCGTTAATTCCTTCACTGTATCTGCACTCATGTCTTTAGACATCTTAAGCTTTTCTTTTTTTTCTCGCTGACTTTTTTCATCCTCAGGTAGTGGCAGATATTTCGGCATCCAATTTACACATCCATATGTGTCTTGACCACTTGCTCGTTGTTCTGCTGTTATTTTGTCCGTGTCGTTGTCTGATCCAACTTTTCTTCTTTTTATTTTTGGTGTGTCAGGTCTTTTCACATTTTCAACTCTTGATTGGATTTGCTTTGCTAGGGAATGGTGTCCAAGTCCAATAACATCCCCATCAATTACATCTTGAAGAGATTTTGGATATCTCGCCACCATCCGTTTTGCTATCTCTGTTGTGTTGTGTTTGGTTGGATTCTTACAAATCCTCATTATTTCAGAAACCACGATCCTTACCATCTGTCGTCTTAATCGCGCACTTGGCCTTTTCTGTCTCTCCAAACTCTGCACTAACTCTTCAGGAAGCTTCTGCCATGGAATTTGAAAATGTTGTTCCCAGTTTGAGGCAGGTGAATTACATCTTTGGGATGTGGATGGTGATGCTCTGGATGTTGATGGTGAGGTCGTGACTGAGGAGGGAGAGGACATGAGAGACACTGGAGAAGAACATGCTGGGGACGGAGTTGGAGTGAAAGAGTCTGCAAAAGCACAACAAAAACATTTTTAATATTACAACATATTCATTAACTTTACAGAATAGAATGTTGATACATTTGTGAACAGAAAACCATTAGCAAAAATGATGGCATATGTACAAGTCAAAAATAAAGGAGAATGCCAGTGTAAAATATATATATTTTTTTACATGTTTTTTATCACCATGGGCACTCGTCAGGGTCATTTATCTTCCCTGTCAACAACAGAGGCATTAGATGATGCGCTATTTTTAACATTATGCCTGAAAATGCTTTGAACGCATTGCTGAACGTTGGAGAAAAATTTTGTATTCACTGTTTGCAAAACCATTTTTGCAGAACGTGAATTTAGAAGTTTAAAACTTACACTCCCTTACTGGCCATCTTTGAGAGACATGACGTTACCCAGAACCATAAATGTAAACAAACTGACCAACTGTTTTTGACGGAAGGCGGTGTGTAGCCTACACATTTCAACAATACCACAACTTTCTGAACAGAAAAAGATTTATTTCAACTTCACAACAATTTTACACTGAATTCTCCTTTAATGTACTTATAGAGAAAAGTGTGCAGTGTTGTAGTGTCAATGCTTTACACTCACGGTTTGGGGCCCAAGCAGCAACCAATCTTCTGGCTTGTATGGGTTTTAATACTGGCAGCAAGTCTCCTTCTGTAATGTACTGTAAATCTTCTGTCTTTGCTGCACCAAGTGCGTTCAAAGTATCTTCAACTGACTTGACGACTTGATCAGGCAAATCAGGAAACACAGCTAGAACAGCATCGGTTATCCTCTGTGATTCAGTCATATCTGTTAAAGACACCATCCATCCATCCATCCATTTTCTACCCTTTAATCCATTTCTGGGTCAGGGGGGTGGCAGTCAGAGATGCCACCCAAGTCTCATAGCACCAGCCCCTCACTGACCCTCTGCAGGTGGTGAGTCCACAGGAGGACGGCTGCTCTCTGACTGTGAGCATAGCCTTGATCTTTCAGTGGGGGCTTTGGGCAAAGTGGGGTTAAGTGTCTTGCCCAAGGACACAACGACAGCAGTCATCAGTGTTAAAGACACATAAAAGAGAAAGTGTTCCATAATGGCTTTTTGATTTAGTGTGACAAGAGACTGTGCTTCAATGGGACAACTTGGGATCCATTGTCTAAGTAATGGTGTAAAGGCCACATGTCAATCAGTTCACCAACATGTTTGCACTCTAATCTTCCACTGCTGTTTTTTACAGAGTACATGTGCAAGTGTGAGAGAAATTCTCCATCATGCATTCTCATCAGAAAATGAAGAGTAAAATCATCTTTAATGAGAAGGAGGATGATTTCACCAAACTCCACTGAATCATCATTTTTTGTAACAACAAACTGTCCTTTCTTGTACATTATCCCATTATACTGCACATTGACAGAATTTTTTGTATTGGTTTCATTGAAGCCAAATCGAAGGATTGAGTCTTTAACTTGCTCACTGTAAAGCTCTGGGTAAAATGGTGAGCCATCTTGTATTTGCAGTGCCTGAGGACTCACTGATCCAGCAGAAAGAAAGGCCTGAAACATCTGATGCCTCTCCGAAAGAGTCAAACACAGATTTTTGAAATTCTTCAGATGCCTTGTACATCTTTTGAAATAACTGTGTTTACTCTCGAAACGCAGAGTCCATAACCTCATGAGCGGGCCAAATTTCAGGATCAGTCCCGGATAGTGGCGCATAAAATGGTGTTTAGGTCTTAATTTGATAGATGGAAATAGTGCCTTCCTTGTTTTCAAATACTCTTGGATGAGAACATCCAGGTAAGCAACCTGAGCTTTAGAAATCTGCTGAGCACAAATCAGGTCAACAATGTCCTTAAGCTGCAAAAGTAACTGCCACACATCATCTTGGGGGTCATGCACTTTATCACCAATTATCAGGGGCAGCAGTTTCAGGAAATTCCAATTTTGGACAGCATGTCCACTCAGTTTGAGTGTTTGAGGGCTTACCTCACAAGGTTTGGAAGAAGCATCTGTTGCTTTGTATTTGAACTGCTTGATTCGCCTGTTCAAAAGTGCGTATGTAAACCATTTCTTCTTTTTGATAAAGTAATTGAGGTACATAGCAACATCATAGGAGAGGACACCCTCAAAAATGTCATGTCCCAGACAGGGGGGCATGCCAGGTGAACAAACATCAAAGTTTTGCAGAGTATTAAATACTGACTTAAACTTAATACCTCGTACGTGTGGCACGTCCCCTGACTCCAGCTGTTCAATGGCGGATTGGTAGGTTTCTGGAGTCCGCTCCTGTCCACAGAAGTTAGGATCAGCACCCTGAAATTCAGTTCGAGTAATCAGACAATATCTGCAGAAGTACTCAGATGAACTAAAATTTTCCGTAAACCCGCCAATGGTGTGAGAACCCAGGTTGTCTCCAGCAATACAGTACAGAGATCCCTTTAAAACTTCATCTCCCACTGTTATCCCATTTTCCTCAAGTTCTTTTAAATCAGAGAGCAGTTCAGAAAAAACCTGTGCATGGCCAAAGTCCTTGAAATCCTTCTCTCTACACAATAAAAACAGCTGCATGTGGTCAACATTTGATCGTACATGAGGGGGCATGTTAAGGAGAGAGAAGTAAACAGCCAAAACCTTATGCTTCTTTTTAGCAGAGCCTAACGGGTTAACAACTTCAAATGCGTCCTGGTATAAAACCAGCTTCAGACAGCTTGGGTTTTCCTGAAAAAATCTGTTTGACATCAGCACTTTGCCATCATAACGGTCAGAGAGAACATCTGATTTGGAAACACTAACATGATCCACTGACATAAGGCCCTGCCAAAAACCGGACTCCTGAATGCTCTTTAACGTTTTTAGCAAAGGAATGTAATAGGCACACCTCTCCCCCTATTCTCATCTCTGCCCAAAATTATTTTTTTGGGATCCACATATTTGAACATGTCTTTGAAGCACTGAGTTCGTGAGTACGGCGTTCTCATAGGCCCTGTGTGGCAAGCTGTGAACAGATCAGATTCTTTTATTGTATTGCTGATTTTTACAATATCGTCATCTGAAACAGACATATCTTTCAGAAGCAAGTTTAGACTATTAAAAGTATAGGACTGTCCTAGGTCATGTATATTTTGCATTTCTTCAACAATGCTTTGAATGGTAGATACTGGAAGGAGATGCTGTCCTTGTAGTTTCATATAAAACATGCATATATTTCTCAGATACAGGTCACTAAAATTTGACCCATCCCCTACAGTGTCTTCTGCATCGGACACACAAGCCGGTTCCAGCATTGTAGCAGTGGAGCTGGCACAGTGTGTATCGATTGAAGCACATGTCACATTTTCTGACCATTGTCGGTGCTTTCTGGACATGTGAGAGGTAAAAGACGATTTTCCTGTGAACACGTGTTTGCATTCACTTACTGGGCACACTACTTGGCGCCCTTCTGCAATGTGCTCCTTTAAGTGAGCAATCATGGATTTAGTTCCCTCACACTGACGGTCACAAAGTGAGACAGTGCATTTTAATGATGTCACGGCCACATTTTGAATAATGTTGACGGTTTGTGTACTGTTGTGGTGGCGATAAAAGTGCGACTTTAAAGCTGTATAGCCTGAAAACCCCTGCTTACAACTTGTAGCTACACATTTTAAAAATAATTCGGGGTTCATTGCGGTGCAATCTGCAATGCAGGACATATGCTTTAACAGACTTAACATTTTCTCCACATATGGTACAAGAATACATCTTCCGTAAAATAGGCTCCACTAGTGATGGGACATAAGGCCGTTCACTTTTTATGCTCCTGTAGCCGCCTCTTCCCTCACGGACCCCGAGCACCTTTTCTCTTCTGTGGCCCGGGAGAGTGCTGGCGCTAGTGGGAGCGTTCGGGCACTCTCTCGCCTTTTCCTCTGCTTCCCCGCACGCAGTGCTAACTCCCCACGGCCGTTCGTTCACAAACTGTCCCTCTACCACTCCTCTCTCCGCCCCACTCCAACAGTGACTTTTTTTCGCTAAATAAACATGCACAACTAAAGTGATGCCCCTTCCCCATAGATGAATCAAATATATATCGTTTACTGTAAGGACAAAAGAGCCGGATCTTTCACGACCGAACCATATGCTCTTAACCCACACGAACTGCGTGATTAGCTAACCAGGGACTTCGTTTAGCTATATCCAAAAACAGTCAG